CCTGTTTTAACTGGCAGAGTACTCGGGCCACCACAAGAGTGATATTGAGCTGGCCACACCCACCCCAGGCCCCCAGGTCAAACACAACCTTGATGTAGCCCTCCGTGTAATCAAATTTGACATCCCTGGTATAGCCAAATCCCTGGCAACAGGGCCTTGGCTTGGTTTTCAAAGGCAGCTCACACAAAAAGTAGTAATCGGTTTTACTATTGACCCCCTAAACACCTCATACAAATGACTTATTATGAAAATAAAAATGGCAAGGAAATAATATCCATATATCAGTGTATAGATAATGTTCTTATTTGAAGAATTAAAATTATTCATTCTTGGCCATCTTGTAGCTCAGTTGCATGAAGAAAAATCCACTCCACACCAAGAATTTGAAAGAATCTTAATTTCTTGGCAAAGGAAAAAAAGTTACCTTTGTTCCATCAAACTGAATGAGAATTGTTAAGAGGAAAATGGAAAAGAATTTTTAGTCCAATGTAAGAAGTACCGTTTTTGAAATATGGATAACCTCTACAGATTTAAGGAATGATTTGGAAACAATCTCATTTGCTTTTAGAATTGTGACTGCATTTCTGTAGGGTTGAGTCCTTCTCCTTGGCCTTGAGTTTGCTCTGCTCTAATACTGGGAAAGGTGGAAGGAAAAAGAAGAGGATGACCAGCCAGGTGGACTTAATCATAGTGGCAATGAGTATACTATTGGGATACTTAAAAGAATAGCTTAAGGATAGATCTTCATGGAGAAAATGTGTCTATATGGTCTGCTCAGACTTGATGGCAAACAATGAATCTATAAAATATAGATATTGACTCTAAACTCAATCGTCTTTCTTCCTGTCCCCAACCTGCTTTTTAAATCATTAAGAAGCTTAAGCCAATCAAACTGGTTTCATTTTTCATTGGGAAAACTAAATGAAGATTTTTAGTGCTTTTTAAAAATACATTTTAGAGGTAACTCAGTTCCAAATATTAACCAACTTGGTAAATTTGGCCATTGGTTTGGCCAATCTCCAAAGCAAAAATACACACATCTTTCTTCCACAAAAGGTTATAAAGTAAAATAAAACAACAATTACCATCATTTTAGGAGAGAGAATAAGAGGGAAATACACAGCAGGCTGTGAAGAAATGGTTGGGATTGACAATACCCAGTAAGCTAAGGTTAAATGTTATCAAAATACTCAGTGAAAATGCATTTGCATAGCACCTGAAGACTTTCCACCCAGTAAATGTCATGAATGAGCTTCTAAAGCATTATTAGATTTGCAGAGAAAACGGGAAGATAAAGTCTGGAACATTTTTATCGTGGGGTGAACTGTCATAATGTCACAGAGAGAAACAAGGTATTATCTAAGCATTCTAAAACTGTTCTCTTCCAATGTGACTCGCTCCATTCATTGATCAAGGAACCAACTCTCTTTGTTCCTTTTTCAAGATTTCCTTTCAATCATGAGGACTAGAGAGTTCATTTATTTTTTAAAGGACAAATCAAATGAGACAAATGGATGAGTGGGTCTGCTGTTTTCATCCAACAGAGAGACATCTCTGCTCTATAATTTGTGACATGATCAAGAGCACTGCAGTTTCTAGATTATATATATATATATATGCAGTACGAGGCAGTTGAACAAAGAACCCATTTTTTCTTTTCATCTCAACTCTAATGTAAGTTACATGAAAAAAGAAAAGAAACAGATGAGGAATTGGTCTCTGATGGAGCATAATATCGGGCATCAATCAAACACTCCCTTGGTCTTTCACTAGTAAAGAGAAGAATGCCTTCTGATGGTTAATACATCTGTTTTAAAGGAGTTAAAGGTAATAGGGCAGGTATGGTGAGGAATTTGAGGGCTTTCAGTTGAAAGCTACAGTAAAGATATGTTCATACATAGCCATGCTTTGCTTAACCACAGTTTCAGTAAGCCACAATTGGTTGTAAATCACAGGTGTGATTTTTTTTTAAATTCCTGGTAGCACTGAAAACCAGGGGTGAAATGCTACTGGTTCGCCCAAACCGGTAGTAAAAATACTACCGGTTCAACTGAACCAGTAGTAAAAAAAAAATGCTGCTGGTTCAGGTGAACTGATATTTCCGATGATCAGCTGTGATGCGGAATTTATATTAGCTAATAAGCTAATCTTCATTACTTTAAAACAATCATTATGAAGTGTATAATCCTGCCCAATGCTTTTACTTGTATAAGTAAAATGAAATGCAGCACTTCTGTACATAGATCTGATTTTTAACATGTCATGCAGAGAATATGGTTTCAGGAAGCGCTTTCTCAGATTTTCTAAAAATCTGGCAGTATTTTTATATAGTAATTTAATCCAACTAACCTTTTCCTTCAAAGGCTCTCTTTCATAATTGTCCTTTTCATGTTAGCTAACCAAAACGTCCTGCGTAATCTAGGCAATAGTAGCCCTTCAAAGTCATTAGGACATATTGCTAGCAAGAAAAAGTTGTATATCAATATTAGCTGTTTAGTGAACAGAAGAAATGTTTTGTTGAATGTACATAGAACATTCATACAGAAATACTTTTCAAATACTGTGTTGAACAGGTGGGGCTACCTTAGGCCACAAACGTAATATGGTACAATTGCTAAAATAATGGATTAGAACACAGAAAATATGGATTCAAGTCCATTCTTAACTACAGAGAGTCCTTTTATGATGATAATCATTCTGTCCAGAGGTGGGTTGCTGCCAGTTCGCCCCAGATCAGGCAAACCAGTAGCGGCAGCAGTGGGAGGCCACCTGCCCATGCGCAGAAGTGTCATGTGATTACACGAGCGTGCATGCGTGAACCGGTAGTAAAATAAATTGCAACCCACCACTGATTCTGCCTCTCAGCCCAGCCTACCTCAAATGATTGTCATTAGGGAGATAAAATGAGTAAAAAAAATGCCCAGTCAGCTACCTTGAGCTCCTGGGGAAAAGTGGAAAATAAAATAAATAGTGTGGTATAAAAAATCTCCCCCTCTCTTAAAATCAAACTACATTTAATAAGCAAAGCAAGCCGGTATTAGCCAAATGCTCTTCCCGGGTAGCTACATAAACAATGATTATTCACCTATAATGACCAGATGCATGATTATCAATAAATATGTGACATCAGTTGTAATTATTAATTTAGTTCCTCGGTCCAGTTATGGATAAAAGTAGGTACCAGTGACGTTCGTTAGGCTTTCAGCCTCACCCTTCACTTATGTATTAGTCATCAGTATCAGGATGACATGATGGAAAAGAGAATGTCAATTACAAAAGAAATGGGAGTTGAATCAGATTACTATCCACTTTGCTGACCCTATCTATTTGAGGAATAACCCCATTCAAGTTTAGAAGGGAATGTAAGTCATTCAGAATATGCTGAATAATTGGAGAGACATAGAGGTCAGTCAGTTAGTAATAAAGTGAAGTTAAAGAAAGAGAAGACTGAAAAAGAGGAATCCCAAAGATGTTCTCATCAACCATTAGCACCTAGATAAAAGGATGATCAGATGTAGAGATCATTGGCTATTGCTTTCTCCACAAGTGCATTATGTGTGTCCTTCTAAATTGGAGTGTCATGTATAATAATTCGGACCTGTGACTTTAATGTGACCCAAATCTTCCTTCGTCTTTATTTGAGGGGAGGGTATGAAGAGATAGATGAACAAGTGGTTATTCTACCTGATTCTTACAACAAGTCTTAATTCTTAATAAGCAAGATCCTTTATCTAAAGAAGTCTGTAGTCAAAGCTGGCACTGATTATTACTGGATAGCAGTAATATACAATTACGTAGATAGTTCACTTGTTACATAGGGAGTAGTTTTCTTCCACGGAATAGAAAAATAAATCTGACCCATTCATCTTTATTACTGTATTATTATTCATCCCATCTTTATTTTACTTCAACACGACAACATATATTCCTAACATTTCCAACTTCTATTTTCCCAACTACAACCTTGTGCAAGAGACTTTTTAAGAGACTTGTGGGTATCTTTAAAACGGAAAAACATTGTGTCAGATTCTAGTTGTGAAAGTGTGATTTCCCAATAGCCCAAAATTCCATACCTTGTCTTGACCAAGAAACAGTAAGGGAATTCTATGTTATGGATAATAAGTAGAATCAGATATAATATTAGTACCGTATCACAATGTACTTCTAAAATTAAATTGCCTATTTTTCCAGCATAAAGCAACATTCAAAGTGTTTAGTTAATTAATTCATCCAAAGTGCATTTTGAAAAAAAACAAACTTTAGTGTAGATTGATATCTTACCAATTAGAGAAAGTTAAATATAAATAAGAATGAACAAATAATGTACAGCATGAGAGTGGCTGGAACCTTATACACTTTTATCTTACATAAATCTTACATAAATCTTATGTGAGCCGCCCTGAGTCCCCTCAGGGAAAAGGGCGGCCTACAAATATTAATAAAATCTAAATCAAAATCAAAATCTAAATCTAAATCTACATACTACTACATTTAACGGAGCGTGAAAGGCACTTTTGTCTCGCTTTTGGGAAGATTCAGAGCTTTTCCCTAAAACTGCAGCTTAAATGCCACTCTCTACCAGACACCAGAGATTCCCTTGCTCCTCTAAAGAGGTTTGTTAAGAGGAAAGAGAATGCCGCATCTTGCAGGGAACGGGAAAAAAACAACATCCTTTATGTATGAACAGAAGTGTCTGCTATTTGCATGTGGAGATCTTTAGATTTATTCCTACGTCAAACAAAAGGAAATGTCTAAAGATATCCAGTCCTTAAAGTATTAAACCATACTGACAATAATTTCACAACTCACTACCATGATCAAAGGTACATACATTGGAACACAACACTCAGTCAGACGACAAATGTTAGAAAGCAACTTAAAAACATGTAAAGAACACGTTTTAAACAAGCATGTATGTTTTTATTCTAAAAAGGTAATAGATATGCGTAATATCTTTAGAATCAGATATAAAGTCTCTACAAGATTTTTAGAATCCTTACCTTTTTCTGGGCTAAGGTTTTTATATACTTCAAGGTCTGCCATTAATTTGTTTACTGATAGTCATTATTGGTCAACAGAATCAAAATTATTCCTGAAGCAAAGCCCAGATTCACATGTCCAGGGTTAATACATTTGCAGTGCCATCCTTACAAGTATTAAAGAACTTTGACAATCCTGCCCACTGTGAAACGTAGTGTAATCACTCTTATCCATAGCATGGATTCAGGAGAATTAAAGAAATCCACAAGGTGATCCTGAACAACTTTGCTCCAATCCACAATTGGGAAAAAGAGAAAGAATTCCCAGTCTGATCAGAAACCTTGGAAGGCTCTGCTTTCTGCAGCTGTTCTTGTGGAAATGCAGGACCACTTTTGGTATGAGACATGCATGCACAGTGCAGTGCTTAAAATCCTCAAGGCATCAAATGTGCAGGAAACATTGTGGGGAAGCTGCAACGTCAAGAGCAAATCCACGGTGCACCAGAAATAATAAACTACCATCACCTTCTGGTTATTCAGAGGGGTTCTGTGGGGAGGGTGGAGTGACGCAGGATGATTGCTGAAGATGAAAAGAAAGCCGAATCCATTTCCTACCCTCATCTATCTCAGCATCTCTGGCTGAGGAAATTCATAAAGTGGAAGGAAAGCGAGACTGTCACTCCAAGAGTTGTATTTACAACACAGAGGTGAGCATTCAATGCCCTCAGAGCCCTACTGGGAATATATCAGGAGTAACAAATAATGTGATTACTGTTTGTAATTAGGCAGCACTTCATGCTGCGTTGAACTCTGAATGGGAATTGCAAGGGCATCATTAAGTTCACAGTGTTTTGCTTGGAGAATAGGATCCCTGAATGAAGGAGGCAAAAATTCAACAGGTTTCATGTTGGACAAAATGTGAACATGTATTTGCCCACAATGTAGGCAATATCTTGACAGAGAATTACACCGATTCAACTCTTTGACATCATGTATTGTCCTCCATAAATGCAGATCTTTGAAGTGCATAACCTGCCATTCTGGGGTGTTTCTTTTTTCATTTCCAGATTTAGAGAAAGCTGCTGTATGAAAGCAGCAACAGCAGAAGATAGTTTATTAGCATATCAGTTGATCAGTTGCATTTAAACAGGATATCAATCCAGGCACATTTCAGAATACAAGAGTCAAGCTCTTTTGAAAATAATTAATACACCACTTTAGATGAGAGTCTAGCATCTCTACACATATTCTCCATATAACTCTTTGGCCAGATCAAGATACTTCACTGATTTAAGATACTTCTGGTTCTTGTGTCTGTTTTTGCAGGGTGTTGACAACACTATAAAGATTAGATGCATTAAAGAACCCTCCCTCGATCCCATCTTCCATAGCCATGCTGAATGAAGATGATACTAATAAATGGGCCATGTTAGATACCTCTGGGGACCACCAGACTTGCAAAAGCTAGTGTCCCGTATCCTTACCCTGGCCTAATTTCTTAAAATAATAGAAGCAGAGATTAGAAACATCAGTAGTTCTGAAGTATCCAGCTTTATCCAGCTGATATAGTCTCTTTTTACCTGAAAGGAACACTCTTCAAGAAAGAAGAGACAGAAGGAGGGAATCTGAACATAGAGAATAATCCTGTGAAATGGGCATGGTCATATTGCAGTTCAATGTTCCCAATTTTAGCTAAACTTATCCTAGAAATCCCATCAACCCTGCCACATAAATGTGCCTATGACACATTTCTGCATGTATATACCTCTGTGTCTATACACTTCCAGAAACCACACACAGGAGCCACAAAATATAGACACAGGATGAAAACCAATAAATATATAGAAATACATGGATATTTCTTCCCTCCTTCCAGGAGGGAGGGAAGAAGGGAGATACAGTTGGGAAACTACACAATATAAGAAAGAAAAAAGGAAGCAGGCAGGCCATGCCCAACCTAGCTCCGTGAAGAGAAAAAGGTCACAATATGTCACAAGATGACAATGTGACACTGTCCATTTGATACCTGTGATATAGACAATGTGAAGAGGCAACAGATGATGAATGGAAGAGATAAAAGGGAAATGTACCCTGGTTGGCATCATTGAAAAGATTAAATTGACTAGCCAATGCCCTCTGTAGCCACATCTGATTTTCAAGCAAATCTTCAAAAGCATCAATCAACAGTGTCTCTGCACCCATTTGCATAAAATACTAATTATTTTGTTTTCACAAACACTTCCATATTTAGAAATGAATAGAAGACGGCGTCTACCACAATTCAGATAATTTCTTTCAAATATTTATTCTGGACAGCACTAAATGTACTTACCTTGGACAAGAAAACTTTGCATTGGTGAACACCTTTGTTGTCACTGCACAACAACTAGTAATTTCTTATGTCTAATCTATATTGAGCTTCTCAATTTTTCTCATCCTATTACACATATAGCTTATTCGTGATTCTGCTCGACTAGAAATGCTTCCAAACCATCTAGCAGTTTTTGCCTAAAACACGCACAACCATAACTCTTTCCTTATGACTCTTTGTTCCTTCATTTCTTACAACTATTTCTTTTTTTTCTACTTACTTATAGTACCATAGTTTCACCTTCTTCAATTATTTGACCCTTATAATTACAGAAATCTATTCAACTGGATTTGAGTACAACATTTCTTCTTTAGTTTAAGCCACCAATTATGACCATAATCATATTTATGCATAGAAGGATACATTTTAAAACTCATATTATTAACTTGATTTTGTAGAACTACAGCGTCAACAAACCAAAGAAGATAAAGTTATAGCTTAGTGAAATAAAAATACCACAGAGATAGAAGTACTTAGGTTTAACCACAAATTTCTCTATATATCTGACTATAGGAAATCACTTTAAGTCACTATGTCTCAAAGCAGGTTTTAATAGATGGTTCTTTGGTCCTTCTATATACAAACAAGAATAGTAACATTCTTTCCATATACTGCCTTTATCTTGATTTGCTTTGTAGTTTTCTACACGATGAGTTTACAGAGGCCAGTATCCTATATGATCTTCATCCATTCCTTTCTAATATTGTTTGTTCATATTTGACATAATTGATTACTTTCTGACCTACTTGTGCGTGCATATATGCTTCTGTCTCAGGATGATGGTAAATTGTGACTTACCAAAAACTTAACTTACCAAAGTTAAGAATGGGCAACATGGAATTTCTAACTTCAAATATAGCTGGGAACACCTGCTAGGAGCTCTATTTGACTCAACTTCCATTTATTCCTTCAGTTATTTGTGTGAGAGAATTTCTTAATTAAAAAAAATTAAGGTGAGCTTTATATGCATTCTTCCAAGACAAAAATGATAGGTAAATGCAATTTAGGACTTTAAGTTTCTCTATTCTCCCAACTCAAAAAACCAGGTAAGAGTTGAAACACACTGGAGAGCTTGGAGTCTTTAAGAGGGAATGGCCTCATTACAGTACTTTGTACTCTTAGTGCAGGAATTGTATGCCTGGTCATGACCACTACAGCAGATATTTTATAAGAAAGGAAGCCTCTCATTTCAACAACTCAACAACTATTTTATGAGAATGCCACAAAGAGGGCCTGGAGGCTTTTGAAACACATCTTGATGCTTCCCTAAAGAAGCCACAACACTTCAAAGTTCACATGTGCAGTGGTCATATGATTCTAGAAAAAAAATGGTTCCAGCTCCCTCCCTCTGCCCATCTGCACCACACTTGCCCTGCCTGCCACTCACTGATTGGCTGGCTCACCAATCCCCCCACCTGCCTCTAAGAATCCTATCTAAACCTTAAAGTCTTAAAGCTGTCAAG